CTTCGTTATACACAATAATGTATACACTTTTTAGTGGAGAATAAAACTTATTTTTGGTCAACATTTTTGATGTTTAATATAAAAATACAACTTTTAATAAAGTAAAAAATATGATAAATTTTCAATTCAATTCAAATGTTGGGAACTACACCTAAAGACACCAAATTTCTACATTTTTATGAATTTTTAATTACTTTTTTATTTTACTTATAAAATAATGTAAAAACTAAATCTACGCTTAAAATACTTTTGTTATGAATTAAGGAGTGTTTTTAAAAATTTTATTATTATTAGATTTTTTACTTTACCAACAATTAAAACATTATTTAAATAAAAAGATTAAATAAAAGCACTTTGTTATAAATAAAATTACTTATAAATACTTAAACATTTTTTATAAATTGTATACCAATAATAAATTATAGCTAATAAATAAACGGCATTAAAAACATTTCTCATCAAATAAATATCGGTAATAATCATATAATATGCTAATATTTAGCACTCAATGTATATTATTCTGTAATTTATTGACAGCTCATTAAACAACACAATAAATCATTGAACTAATGGTATTTAAATGGTGGATAGAATTAGGTACGGCTTATTTGATTTGCTAAATAATCCCGATAATTATTTTTAGTACAAAAGGATTGTGCTATTAGTGTCACTATTGATTGGTTGTACGGCTCACTAAATAGCGTTTCTTATGTAAAACAATTGTTTTAATTCAATGTTTTAAATAAAATGACAGCAATTTTATTAATTTTGAAAGTGTTGGAAGAATTAGTTAAAATATTATACGATTCAATGCATTCAATGAATGGGTGTTTTTACAATACATTTTATTTAAACTTTAAAATAATATTATTGCAAAAGTTATCATTCATTTTATTAGTTTTGTCAATATATTCATCGCTTAAGGCATAACTAACATTATGTAAAAGGTTATGAACTTTTTGTTTGAGGTTATTTACCAGGTTTTTATATGAACCACTCGCTAATACTATATGTTTAATCACATTATTGTTGTCCATTATATTATCGGTAAGTTTACAAACGAAGGGCAGGGGGTCTGCAAAGTAAATCTTCAATGTCTAACATTTTTTAATCCCTTCCAAACATTTGTGTCATATGTTATGAATTATGTCCTAAATGTCTGGAAATTAGGTTTTATGAGAGAAAGTATAAAAGAAAGAAAGAGAGAAATAAAATTGAGTTTCCATTATATGAATCCATTAAACTAAATGTCCTTTTTGTGGACACAAATGGAAATGTAAGGCTTGAGTGCTAACAAACCTCATAATAATATATAGAAATACACACTACTATTGACTCAAATTCTTATCACAACTTTTCTATTTCTCAATCATTTCATTGATTTGTTGTACACAAAAATCCAGTGTTTGTCCACACATTTAATGGACAAAAATATAGATCATATACTGTACGAAGTCTTGTATAGAAATACAGACTTTCCTCAAATGATTACATAACTAAGGATTTATGTAATCGTTAAGAGAGATAAGGGGTTTAGAGACATAGAATCCGATATCTCAGGCAATGTTAGGAAAATAGATATATTTAGTTGAGTTCCGTTTAGCCAAACATTAATTACATTATTGAGCATAAAATTTGTGAACATTTTTTGCTACTTATTTGTGTCAAACATGATATTTCCATGTATTGACAAATGTATGTTGAATATTAAATGTATATACAATTCAAAACTAAATTTTATTTCCAAATATATATTTACAAATTTATTTGTAGTAATACAACAAATCGTATTATATATGAATGTATGGCAATATCAATAAATATATAATCAAATGGTTTTATAAAACAAATAAATTATTCATTTCTCACATGAAATAAAACGAAAATTGAATCTAATTTTTTGTTGTTAATGTAATGAATGCTAAAAATATCTTTGAATATATCCACTGATAAACACGAATACCATTTGATTATAAAAAAACTATATAAAACTAAAACAAAATATAAAAACAATTTTAATATATTTTATTTTTTATGAATTTGTGAAAAATATGAATAAAAATAAAAAATCTCTTAAACGATAGAAATAAAAATAAATTTAAAATAAAGTTTACGTCAAATGAGAGCATCTCTAGGATTAAACAAATCACTATTAATTAGTTACTAATTAATAATTTACGTCAAAATTATATCATTAATAAATATCAGTAATATTTAAAAATTACACTTTTTCTTTGAACAAACATTTAATGTCAAAATAACAGTAAATTTTAATGGATTAAATAACATGTAATTTGTATGAAATAGTAACTAATTTTATAAGTTTTTTATATAATAATATAATACTATTCATATATTTTTATTGTTTGGGTTTCATTAGAAAAGCCGACTATTTATCTGATTTCTTACGTTATTTTATATATTTATTTATAGCGTTATAAATGCAATCTATTGTCTACTAAACCATTAATTTTAAAAAACAAAATCTTAAATACAATAACATTAGGTCTGCCCATAACGGGTCGTACGCCTAGACAGCAAGTCGTATAAAACTAATATACATTTATATGTAATGTATTTTATTAACCGGTATTTCTATAATCCAAATGAAATGTATTTTATGTGTATTTTTAAAAGATATGCATTTCTGCGAGTATTATGTCGGGCGAGAGAGCACTAAATGACCGCTTATTTGATTTAATTATATGTATTTGTATTTGAATTTAAGACATGTAATTGATTGAAGCGATTGAACGTTAAGTAAATTATGCAATAATTATATTCCGAGAGATCTCTTTAATTACAGGCTTTACTTCCGATAGTGAAGTGCCGACGAAATGGCAAACTTCAGCCATAATTAGCCGTTTCCTTCTTCCAGGCCTCGATCAGAGCCAGAGTGGACTGAGTTTCACCTGATTTACAATAGTATATCAATAGAGTATGTATTAGTGCTTCAGATAATCACTCAAATAACTGAGTTTATTGTCAGTCGAGGAAAGGAGAGAAAGAAACAGAAAAGTAAAGTAAATTGAATCAATTAATTGATGGCATACTTTGTAACAGCATTTTCTGAAGACTGAGATTTTCTTTTCGCAATTTATTGAAACCATATTCTTGTCGTTTGAGAAGTGATCGCAATTTGACGATCTCTTGCTGGAGGCGTGCGATACACGTCCACTGAGACTGATAGGCCTCCAGACTCCGGGCCCGCCATCGCTCCACCTCGTCGTCAATAGCGTTGACCACTTCGGATCGGTTCCACTCATTAGTGCCGGGCATTGGCGGGTAGTGGCCGTCAAACGGCGGCAAATAGCACATCAACTCTCGGCGACCGCACGACACACTTCGCGGCAGTATTTCCCGTCCGTTGTCGTCGACCACAGACTCCCGGAACCGACTGTTGAGTATAATATCGTCGCTGAAGTCATTGCTCCGAAAGAACTCTACGCTCTCGACGTCGGCCTGTATTACGAGGGCGTCGTACGGACCCACTTGTGAGGGACGCTTCAAACGCTATATGCGATCAAAACAATTCATTTGCATATTTGTAATACACGTAAAAAACAGCAACAAAATCAAAGTTTATATAAATATTGATTTATATAATTAACAGTTAAGTATTGATAGTAGTGATTGGGGGGTGAAAATGAATACCTTGATGAGAAACCTGCCGATTCCACTCCTCCGATATCTGGTGCGAACAGCGATGAACGGAATGCAAACTACTTTAACACCGGGAGACCTGAGAGCGACAGACAAACACATCATATGATATAAAATGTTAAAGAAAAAAATATGAAATAATATGTTTTACTAATATATGATTTTTATATTTCTTAATTATATATCAATTTTAACGCTTGTATATCCAAACCATTAATTTTGAATTGAATATTATTTTCTAGAGTTAAAAATTGTAATAAAAAGGTATGTTTTTATGAATACATAAATAAAAGCCCTAAAGACTTGGGAAATATTTTTCTTACCTTTACTTTTAATTATAAATTTACGATTTATTCAAGAATTCACTTCAGAATTGACTTTAACTGAATATTTCTTTATAAATCAGGAAATATTTCTTGTTTACAACATTATTATTATTGAGATATTTTATATGAAATGTAAATTTATTAAATTAATTCAAATAAATATAATTAAATAAAAGCAAATGTAGACATAAGAGAGAAACACGAGATTAATGTTTAGCCAAATTATTTTCAACCATAATCTATAATATACATAAATATATTCAAAATGCCTACATAATGCTCCATATGCTCTCTCTCTCTCTCTCTCTC